ACTACTACTACTACTACTACGACTACTACGACACGGCTTACGACCGGTCACGCCCGGTCACCTCCGCCAGGTGGAGCGGGTCTCTTCGACTGTATGTCCAGGCGCTGTGCAGGTGCATTTCAAGTGCGACGGCGCCTCGGACAATCACCGGTGTTTTGTGCACTAAGGGGAGTAAGACCAACAGAGCAGGAACCTCGGGGCAAACAGCTTTGCACAGTGACTGGATTGTCTCAGCAACGAAAGAGAGAGAGAGAGAGAGAGAGAGACAGAGAGAGAGAGAGAGAGGGGAGAAATTAAACGATCGTATAGGCCGTTATACGCCTGTTTTGTTGGACGAAGTGGCCCAGAACAGCTTGTCATGGCCCAACCTTTGGAGTTTGCTCAGCTGTCGCACTGGGATCTATTGAAAGGGTTGAAGGCATACAGATGACTACAGGCAAGCATGGATAAGAAATGAGAGGAAAATTTTGAGGTGTGAGTGTGTAATAGGTCAAACCCTGTAACCCACGAGGTGAAGATAACAAACATGGAAATACTATCTACGAACGACCTACCTGAGCATTTTGCGCTGATCCCATGTTTTGGCTGCTTTTGGTCCTGATCGCCTTTCAAAGTCAGAACTGTGATATTGATAAAATACATAATATATATATATATACATATGTGTTTCTTTAAAGTTCAAAGTTCCGTGCGTTGACAACCTTTTCCCGGTAGCATCCTTCAGGACGCTTATGTCACGTCACACGTTCGAATTTCCTCCCTCCAAAGCTGTTTATATAATTGTCTTGAATTAAATGGAGGGTGACACTGACCGTCCGCGGCTGATCCACATAGATGCTACTGGTATAAGGCCTGGTAAGAAGAAAACACTGTCTTCCTCCTGAAGTAAAACGGACTGTGTGGGATTTTGCGGGCTATGTTTTGCTCAGGGCCAAGGAACATTTCTGGGAATGGAACTGTGGATTTGACAAAATGGTTCACATCAAGCAAGCCTCTGAACGCTCAGGTGAGGAACAGGCAACACTTATCTGCCCATGGCAGTTCCAAGAGATGTTGAGACCTGCGCCAGCTGCGGTGGTGCCAGATGGAAGAATAGGCCAGCTGCGTATGGTTGAACAATTTCTGCTCCTCTGCATCGAAACGAACCGCGCAGCTGCTGCGCGGCATGTGGTCGAAACCTTGCTGGGCAAACACACCAGGTGCTCACTCAGAGGATTTCAAAACATATATGCATACGGATCCCCCCAAAAAGGGACCATCACCCCTTGATGCATTCGCAGACCATGCTAGTTTGTCCATATTATGTGTAAGACTTCGCTATGTTTCTTTTGGCATTGTGCCAAGTGACCCTTAGCTGGAGCAGAGTGAACAGCTCAAGACGAGTCATGAATCATGATTGTCGACAGACGTGCAGTCAATTTCCAGAGGCAGCATGCCGATAGCTGCTAGCTGAGATCCTCCCAGGTCTCAGATCCATGACTCAGACATGGACAGTAATTAAGTCCTCCTTGCAAAAATTTGGCATTTTCCTGTTGAGACACTTGAAGATGCACTCATTTGCAGGCACCATGGTCTTTCCAGAGGTGGGCGAACCCGATCACTGTCCAACCCAAAACAAGTCTTTAGGGTCTCTTAGAATCGGATACAGTCACTGAGGATGCCGAGGTAGACAAGGAGGCCTTCAATATGTTTTTTTTTGATGATTGTGCAGCGCCTGTGCTCGCACTAGAAAGCGTACCTTGTGATGTCCATGGTCTATTTCACAAGCTCGGTGAGAGAGGATGTCTCCTTGTCCTGATAGGTGCAGTGTGGGCACTCAACATTTGTTCTTACACATGTTTGTTTTGCATTTGGGAGTGGAATAGATGTCCTTGTTTTTCCTGGTTGTAGGCGGATGAAAGTGGCAAGTCCAGGACGGTCCGATCCCAAAAAGGTGTCAGCTTTTCGCGTGCCATTGTGGAAGCTATTCCCATTGCCTCTGAGGATGCAAGGCTAAAATGACTCTTGTGTAGTAGTCTGGTAGCTCCCTACTTACTTTAATGATCTTGGTAGCTCCCTTTCCATCACCAGCTTGTCCTGTTCCGTCCTTTGTGCCCCACGAGCCGCAGGAAGAAAGAGGCAGGTTTTCTCGAGGGAGGGAAGTCATTTTCGGTTTCAATCATGTTCAAATCTAGTTAGTGAAAGCATAGTGGGCAACATTAGTGTGACAAGCCGGCTGGACCATATCAGACCTATCGTTTTTGGATGCCAAGAACCGGAAAAGCCAAGCAGTTGGTTGGACCGCATAATCTCAATGGCTCTTGCTAGAGGTTGCAGGGCGGCACGGGTGGGTTGAAAGAAGTTTGCCTATTTCCACCAGTGCAGTGGCCAGAAGAGAGAAGCACCTGATTGCAACCCACCCACCAAATCTGTGTTGGCCAAGCAAAGAAAGCTACGAACGGAGCAAAGGGCATCGCTACGAACGGAGCGATCGGACGCTACTAGTTAGGAAGCATGCTGGCCGCTTCGAGGCCTGGGAACCGCCGATGTTCCTTCCCCAACCGCGGCGGTCCGAAGGGTCCTTCGGCGAACGGGTCCTAGCTCTCGACCACGGCGCCACAACTTAGGCGGCATCGGGAAGCCCAAGCAAGAGGCCAGCCGCAAAGCTATCTTTGGTGGAAGATACAAAGCTGACGTTGCATGGGCAAAAGAAAAGCGGAAACAACAAAAAGCATTTGACAAAAACAACTATATAAGCAGATCTATGCAGCTGCGCATGCAAGTCACAGGTTTGTTCCATTGGCTTATTTGTTTCGGTGATGACAGCAGAACAGGAATGCTGCAGCCTGGAAGGTGAAGAGCTGCCCGCGACAGGGAAAAGGGCCAAGTAAACGACCTAAATGCAACATCAATGCAACCACCATCACCATGGTACCACCATCATTGGTGTTTGAGTTTATTGTGTTAGACACGATGATTTGATACAACCACCATGAACCACCTCCCTCTTCAATGTCCACATCGACTGGCTGAGCGGGAAAAAGACTCACATCGACTGGCTGAGCCGTGCACGACTCACCGTCCGTTCGCATCTCCGGTGCCAGGTCCGGCGGCCTCAAAGAGGCCTGGCTAAGCCCCGTTCGTAGCGTCTTTGTTACTACTAGCGATGCCAGGAGCTCCGTTCGTAGCTTCTTGTTACTACTAGTAAGGCACCTGTTACTACTAGCGTGGCACTTGTTCCTAGTAGCTTCTTGTTACTACTAGTAAGGCCAGGAGACCCTAGTATCGTCCTTGCTCCTAGTCAGGCCAGGAGCCTTGGGGCGGGAGAGTCCCTGGCCTCCAGTCCCACACACGCCAGGGACCGGTGGTGAAACGGTATGACAATTCCGGTCGACCTGAGCTGCTCAATCGCTTTTGCCTCCAGACCCTGCGGTGCTTGGGCGCGAGGCACCGCTGGCCAAGATGAAATGCCAGCCAACCAACTGCCGACAACAGTGAGGACGCTGAGCATCCAACATCAGGAGGACTTTTAAACGGTATTTGATGTTCAGCGAATTGAACCACTTTGTACTCAATTGGACCTTGGAAGCCCTCAGCAAGGACAGCTTAGCCGTTGCAGCTGCGTGCTTCAACAAGCACGCGGGTTGCCTCGTGCACATTGCCTCCTCTTTGCGTCCAAGATGCAAAGTTTTTTGTTCTGCTACAGGCACATTTTGTGCGCCTTTGCCTCCACAAGTTACGTGTTGGATCGAGTTGGACACTTGTGAAATGCAACCGTATCAGACCGTCTTGTTTGTTGCACAGTGGATCCACTCGATGCAGATGCTCCAGGAGTGAGCCCGGGGCGCCTGTAGCACGCTTTATTGCAAAAAATGGCACGGCGCTTTCTTCACGACAGAGATTGGCATTCTGTATCATTCTATGCTTTATGATGGGTACCACGAATAGCCAAGTTGACAGACTATCGTACACTATCCAGGTGTTGTGTGCGCTGACTTTTCTCGGAACTAGCACAACTTCAGAGCTATTCACTACTGCTAAAGACAGCAAAGATTTCATGTACCCTGATCTCGCCACCACAATGATGGACGTGCAGATTGCAATGGCGGACAATGATGTTTGATGACGCATCCCTTTCCGGCACCACTTTGTGGTCCAGCTCCATGCCCGTCAAAGTTTCCAGGTATTGTGGCTTGTATTCCTGTATGGAAGGAATACTATCCGCAGAAGTCAGTTGGAACCTCAAGACTGCAGCGGTCTGCTGCGGCTCAGCAACGAACGCCACCTGATCAAAATAGGACGACTCTGCCGACAAAGAAGACAACTGTCTCGGGATGATGGGTTTGACATGGCTTGACTCTGGGCTTAGATGATGATTTAGATTTGATGGTTCACAAAAATTCACTTTGCCAGAACCCATTCAGGGATCTTGCCTCCCAAACAACTCCCAGGCTTTCGACACCTTAGTGAAGTGCTCCACAGCGCACCTCGGCAGAGAACTGCCGTCTTCTTCCGTCGAAGCGCACGTGGTGATTGTTGGGATCGCGTTGTTAGTTGGACGGCTGGTGAACCTTTGAGTTTGGGGAGGAACATGGAGGAACAAGGGAATCTACTGGAGGGGGACACGAATCAGATCGAATGAATGTGTGCAAATGTTAAACCAAAAAGCCGAGAGTGGTTCCAGGTCAATCCAGAACCTGCAAACACTAGCCCCTTCAGCAAAAGCATAGGATCACCAGATTCAGAATGTTGTTTCTTTTTTTGGTAGAACAACAGATACTTGAAGGCGATATCGGCACGGGAATCGATGAGCATGTGAAATGGTTGCAAAGGTTTTAATCATCCAAACATTTGGTGATCTTTATATAGTGCACTCACAAGCAAACGGAAACCCTTCAAAACATTGCCGTGGCCGAAACGCCGCAGGGCCAGGTGTGAGGCGATATCCACGCACTGTTTATGCTGTTTTGCAGTTGCCTCTCTGTTTGTGGCAGATGCTCATGGAACCACCATCAGGAGTGGGTCGGTCTAGTGGACTTTGGACAAAGTCCGGTACCATTATCTACCACTCAAGAAATTGTGATATGCCATCTGTGGCAAATAACAACAGTCCTGGGGACGCCAATAGCTTTCCAGTGGTGTGCATGTTTTGTCCAAACTTGAACTTTCTACCACTTATAATTACTGTATAGGATTGACATGGATTGACATTGTTTAACTAGCCTCGTCTATGCCATCGATGGGCCTTGTGCGAGAATAGGGTTTGGATCATCCCAGGTCATGAAGGAGACACCTGCGGCAGGGAGGACAGGCTTCGGTTTGGCCAGAGGGGGACACGGACAAAGAATGGCACACCTCTTTTGCAATAATCATATTGTCCCTTTACTCTCTTTACATTCTACATGTATATAATGCAATTGTTCAATTAATTGCAGTTTTGTGATTGCTGCAACGCATGTGAAAACCATCCTTTGATAAATTAATCCTAAAAAGCTTGTTGAGGAGGTCCTTTCACTGTAGAGGTTGTCATCCTTTGCATTGTTCTGGACAGTTTTAAGGACGCCTGAGCAGATCTTCCGCCATTCTGCGGGCCAAAGTTCAAGTGCCATTTTACTGAGGCCGCCATTTCCGGAAAACGCACCTCCCTGACCGACCGGTCCTTTTTGAAGCGTTTTCTCTGCCGAAGTCAGTCCGAAGTGCAGCGTTTTCGATCGAGGAGCTTGGGCAATTTCTTCCTCATCGTCCAGGCAGATGGGTGTTGATGCCAGAGATTTTGCATATTTTTTTTGTTGAGTGTTGATGAATGACATCAGATAGAGGATCCAACCTCCTTGCAACTACCTGGAGCGTCAAAGACAATCCATTCTGCGGGGGTTGACTAATCAACAGTGAACAGGACAACTTTCAGAGACTCTTTCAGCTTTTCGACAGAGCTTTGGTGGGTGCGGTCCAATGGGCCAGGTTTTGGTGGGCGCATGTGGGTGCGCCCAACGTTCGCCGAACCTCCTCAGATGTTCACCACCTTTCAGCCTGTTGAACCACTGATCCACACTACGTGTTGTTCGTCCTGTGAACACGTCGAGGCCTCGCCCTTCTCAGAGCAAGTCGGGCGGGTCCTGACGGATGCTCAGGCAAGAGCTGCCGTCGGACGTGGGCCGATGTGGGCCGCAAGGGTGTTTTGGACGAAGATGTGAACCGGACCAACTGCCGGTCATTCATTGAGTTTGGTTTGTCAGCGATTGGCTAATCACTGTTTGATTCCTTGATTCATTTGCGGGACCACAAGATCTTTGGCAAGAGGGCAGCCAAGGTTGAATTTCTACCAGACAATGGGCTGTAGAAAATACATGTATATAGTTACAGTATGAGCCAACAACATTGAACCTGGACTTGACGTCTAAGGTACGCTGATTGAAGTTTGTGCATTTTTTGCCGTGCAAGGAAGATCAAGTAAACTTAAGTTTAAGTCGTCCATGTTTCAGATGTGGAAAGCCTGATTTCAAGGTGCCAAGGAGGATCAGCGTTGTCAGCGCATCTCCTTGGGGGGGTACGATCAGATCAGTGCTACGGCCGCAGGCCGCCTGTGCTACTTTGCAGAACACTGTCGACTGTCCACGAGAGGCACGCCTTTGACCACTAGGTAAAGGGGAGAGCAGGGCTAACGACCATGACACAGTGCTGGACGAGATCAGTTCGCCAAGCTGCGTGTGCTTTCTGGTTCTGAGTATATAAAGTTCTTTCCCAGTGCAGCAACTAAAATGTTCTGGAACAAGCCGTTAACACCTGTGAACACGTCCGCACTTGGCCGAGGCCCTCGTCGACAGCGCTGCTCAGATGCTTTTGAAAGAGTCGTGCTGCTTAGAGTGGGTTCTGCTTTTTCCAGCACTTCGTTGGTTGGGCAAGCCTTGTTCCTTATGCCTTACTGTAGAGGAACAAGTCAGATAGATAACCTCTCCTGCCACATGCAGATCGAATCAATGGCACGGTGGATTTGGCCAAGTGGTTCTTGAATCTTGCTGTTGTGCTCGTGCAGTGCACACTGATGCATACTGGTTGAATTGTGTTCAAAGATCGAACCTGCAAGACATCTCGAAAGTAACTCAGCTTTGGTTTTGCCTGTGACTAGGAAAGAACTAATGGATTTTGACTCCTCCAAGGTTTGGATCCTGGAACGCTCCAGAGCTGCTTTCAAGCAGGCGGATTGTGAGACGGGATTGCCGGCGGATCGTGCGGATTTTGGTCTGGATGTTTCCGGATCGGAGTTGAACATTCTAGCCGGTCAGTGGATAACCTTTAGCCGTTTTAAACCTTTTTGGATCTTTCTTTGGGGATATGTTTTTCCCTCTATAAACAAGAACAGGTGGAACAAGGTTAATCTTTTTTTTCCAGTTGAACTGAGGAGGTCAGAAAGAGCTTCTTTCTTCAGAACATTTGATGGGAACGTTAATGTTTGCTGAAATCCGATCAAGTCAGTTTCGGTTTCGGCTTCGGACACAAAGTAGCTCAGGTTCTTGAACTTTAGCAGATCTCTGCAGCCTTGCGGAGGTGAGGAGCGGTTCTCTTGGGCGTTGGCAGCTTGTGATGCTATAGAAATAATCCTGCACCCAAATTACCCAGCTGGCATCCACGAATACAGCAGAGGACCATTTGAGAGGCTGAAGGGTGCCTGGCGTAGTTTGGGTGAAAAGACGCGAAAAGCGCCAAACTGGCTTGGAACATACATGCATCCACATCTGAGGTCGTCTGAGGTGCCGTTGAAACGGGATTGGCCGATTGGCCAACCCTGTTTGTGATGGGACAGCTTGAGTGGTGTTCTTCCAGGCCCAGTTCAGGTGACACAATGGTCACACTGGCGTAATGACAGCATCCATTTGACACGACAAGACCAGCCAGACCTTTTACAGCTTGATGGTTACCAAAATCTGTGTGAAGTTTCGTGGTTCTTTCTCAGGGTTTCCAAGGGCAGCCATCAGGTATCATCAGGTGGGAATCTCAGGGGTCAACAAAGTGATTGGCTTCGCGCACCATGCGGCACCTCTGATAGGTACTTCCGATTGCTACCTGCTGGGCACGCGCTCCATTCAGCTTGATCCCGAGACCAGGTGCGGGTTGCCGGACCGGTCCGGCGTTCACTTGTTACTAGAAGCGATGCACTTGTTCCTAGTAGCTTCTTGTTACTACTAGTAAGGCACTTGTTACTACTAGTAAGGCACTTGT